TTTCTCATAAACAGTGGCTAACACTGAGATTTTGATATGTACATATTAAGTGACAGATACTACACAGAGAGCTAAATTTTTCATTCATAGCAGAAAAATCTAGATTCACAGAAAATTATGATAATGCCAGTGTTTTTATTTGCAATAACCAAAAGCTTACTTACTCTATTAACATAAATGAACTGATTTTCTACATATTTTAGCAGCATATAAAATAACCATCAGTTTTCAAATATATTACTTACCAGCTATGCTGATAGCAGAAATGACTTTTCACAGTTGATAGAATTTTAAAATATTTTCCATTATATATCAAATAGTATCGTGTTACATATAAGAAATATTGTGCTGCTACAAGTGAAAGAATAAAACATATTTCAGAAGCAAAGTTGTATTATTTAACCAAAAAAAGAGGTTAATTGCTAAATTACACATGAATATAGAATTCAACTTATGCATAAATGTGTATAAAGAATGCTAAACAATTCATCAAAACAGCTGATATTTCAAAGTCATTGTGGAGTGGTATTATCTCAAATCACAAAAACCTCCTTTGGTCTCAATCTACCAGAAGTCAGTAATAGAAGCAAGAGTAGAATTGAATACAGGAACAGTCTTTGTTTTGTTAAATATCCAACAAGTCCACTAAACCATGTTAATTAAATTTATACAATATAAGTCAAAGTATTATTGCTATTATGTGAACTTAATATAAAGCCAAGTTCCTTAGCTGTCCCTTTCCAACATAATGCTCAAACCTATGTACATTCAAAATTGAAATTTTTAAGAGGCTATTTAATGATGAAACATACTTTATTAACAATATTATTAATAAATTAATAATAACCACTAATATAATATCACTATATTACATAATTAATATATTTTAATGACATTAATAAATTGTCATTACTAATTACTAATGTAATATTGATAATTAATGAATTAATATATATGTGTGTATATGTTGCATATATATGTGTGTGTGTGCATATATATCTATATCTATCTATCTATCTATATATATATATATATATACACATACACATAATGTGATATTACTCAGTCAGGAAAAGAATAAAATTTTGCCATTTGCAATAACCTGACTAGATGTAGAGGACATTATGCTTAGCGAAATAAGTTAGACAGAGAGAAATAAATAATCTATGTTATCACATATGTGGAATATAAGAAATAAAATAATAGAATGAGTATTACAAAGCAGAAATAGACTCACAGATACAGAGAACACATTAGTTATTACCAGCGGGGAGAGAAAAGGGGCTGGGCAATTTGTATGAGATAGATACAAATTACTACATAAAAGACAAACAAGCAATGAAGATATGTTGTACAACACAGGGAAACATGTCCTTTTTTGAAATATTTTAAAATGGAGTATAATCTATATAAACACTGACTCACTACAGTACACATCTGAAACTAATTCAATATTGTAAATCAGTTACACATCAATTAAAAAAAGTCAACAGAGGGTGAATTAAATGCAAAGTGAGCAAAAGGAAGGAAATACAGAGCAGAAAGTAATAAAAGTAATATCATTAAAAACTGAAAAAAGTCAAAGAAACCAAGTAGCGTTTGAAAAGTTTGATAAAATTGATAAACCTCTAGCCAGACTGATAAAGGAATAAAAAAGAAAAATGACAGAAATTTTAAATTTAAGGAATGAAAGAGGCCATGTCAATACAGATCCTAAAGACATTACAAAGGTAAAAAGGGATTACTAAGAACAATTTTATGACCATAAATTCATGTAAATAAACTTAGCTAATTTCTTGAAGAACACAAGCTATAAAAACATGGAAAGATCAATAATTTAGATAATACCATATTCACTAAATAAATTGAATTCATACTTATAAATATTTCAATAAAGAAACCTCCAGGCACAGATGATTTTATCCATAAATTCTATCAAATATTTAAGGGTAAAATAATACCAATTATGTCAAAACTTTTCCAGAAAATAGAAAAGAATGAAATATTCAATCCTAATTTATTTTTATGAAGCAAGATTTTTCCTGATACCAAAATTAGACAATGACATTACAAGATAAGGATACTAAGTACAGACTCAACTTTTTCATGAGTATAGAAGCAAATTTTCTCAGTTTATTATTAGCAAACCAATCCAGGAAATATAAGTTAAACATCATGAATGAGCAGGATTTTTCTAAGAAAGCAAGACTGTTTCAAAAGTTAAAAATGAGTCAATATAATTTACCATGTGAAATGATTAATATATATATTAGTTTAGTTACATAGAAAATCCCTTGGAACATACAACAACAACAAAGCTCATTAAATTAATATATTTAGGTTGAGAATTTCAAGGTCTATACAGATGAAGTGCTTTTTTTTCTCTATATACTAGCAAAAATAGTTGAAAATTGAAATTAAAGAAATCATATCATTTAAAGTAGCATTAAAGTACAAAATACTTAGATATAAATCTAACAAGCTATGTGCAAGATATGAATACTAGACATTACAAAGCAAAGAAAAAAAATTGATTCAAAGGCTTAAGTAAATCAAGAGAATGATAGTGTTCATGGTCTGGAAGACACAATATTTTAAAGATGTTAATCTCCTGTATTAGTGAAGATTCTCCAGAAAAAGAACCAATGTGTGTGTGTCTGTGTGTGTGTGACTTTGGATTAGGCAGCTATTTCTTGAATGTGTCACCAAAAGTAAAAATTCACAAAAGGAAAAAAGTGTATAAATTGAACATCAAAATCAAAAAATTCTCTGTGAAATCATGATGGCAAGAATGAAAAGGGGAGGTTAAAAAATGTAAGTAAGTATTTGCAAAACAAATATCTGACAGAGGACTTCTACCCAGAATATATGAAAACATTTAACATTCAGTAAAAAGAGAGTTTTAAAAATTAAAACAACTGAAAAAGATTTGAACAAATACTTCATCAAATAAAATATACTGATGGTCAATAAGCACATGAAAAGATGTTCAGCATCATTAGTAATCAAGGAAAAGCAAATAACATCTATAAAGATATGCTACTACAACTTACTGAAATGATAAAATTAAAGAATAAAATAACGGTACAAATGCTAAGGAAGAGACTCTCATCATATTGGTGAAAACACAAAATGTTACAGACATATTGGAAAACAATTTAGTGTTTGGCGTTCTTATAATACTAAAACTTTACTTATTATATGATCCAGCAATTCCATGCTTCTTATTTATCTAAGAGAAATGACTTGTACATGATTGTTTATCAGGGGTTTATTCATAATCCCTCAAACTGGAAACAACCCAAATATCATTCAACTATGAATGGATAAACAAAATGTGATAGTCATACATATCCCATAACAAAAAGGAAATTACTGAAACATGCAAAAATCTGTATGCATTGTTGCAAGTAAAGGAAGCCAGACTCAAACGACTACATATTGAATGATACCTTTTTTTTCATTTATTTTTATTAGTTGGAGGCTAATTATTTTACAACATTGCAGTGGTTTTTGTCATACATTAAAATGAATTAGCCATGGATTTACATGAATGATGCCTTTTATAGAACATCTGTAAAAGGCAAACTGTAGTAACAGAGGGGCTTACCTGGCGGCACCAGCACTGAAAACACACGTCTGCCAATGCAGGCGACAGGAGAGGTGGATTCCATCTGTGGGTGGGGGAGATGCCCTGGAGGAAGGCACTGCTAGTCCGGCTAGTATTCCTGCCTGAAGAATCCCATAGACAGAGGAGCCTGGTGGGCTACAGTCCGTAGGGTTGCAAAGGGTGGAACAGGACTGAAGTGACTTAGCACACACGCATGCACATAGTAACAGAAAATATATCTATGATTTGGGGAGTGGATTGACACAAAGGCACAACACAAGTGTTTGTGGCAATAGTTACACGATTGCAAGGAACTGTCAAAACCAAAGAACTCTACACACACAAAAAAAATGTATATTTTATTTTTTTCAAATAAAATAGGTGATTAAATATATTACAATAAAAAAGATCAGCAGTGGAATCTCTCAGAGGTTTCATTTTAATTGGCCTTAGTGTGTATTCTGGGCATTAGTAGCTTTTGTTTGCTTAACTCTCATCTGTTTCTGTTTGCACAAAATGCAAGGGGAAGTGATCATCATTTAATTCTCCTTCATGGATGGAAGAATTAGAATCCTCAAATTCTGTTCTAAAAATCAAAGCACAAATGTATCACAAGTTTAGGAAGGTGATTTCTGTGGGATACTAAAAATACCACCGAACTGCAGGTCAAAAGACCTGTATTTGCGATTCTGGCTCTATCACCTAATTGCAGTCTGTCCTTGGGCAAGTAACACGGCAGGTCGTGGTGTACTTGCTCTGTTTATTACGTAAGAGGTTTGACCTCATGGGCTTTAGTCTCTCTTCTCGTCTGCCATGCTCGGATATGGGAGATCAAGATTTCAGGCCTAGATTGGTCCTTAATTTGGTGTGTGGCTTTCAAAACCATCACTTTAATTCTTATGAGTCTCAAATTCTTCACCTGTTAAGTTGGAAAAACAGAATAATAGAGAGAAATCTATATACTCCTCCCTGTGATCTTTTGTTGTGGTTTAGTCACAAAGTCAAGCCAGACTGTTTATGACCTCATAGACCATAGCCCACCAAACTCCTCTGTCCATGGGATTTCCCAGGCAAGAACACTGAAGTGGGTTGCCGTTTCCTTTTCTAGTGGATCTCCCTGACCAGGGATCGAATCTGCATTGCATTGCATTGTCTCCTGCATTGCAGGTGGATTCTTTATCTCTGAGCTACCTGGGAAGCCCCTCTTACCACCCAGTAAAATAAAAACTTCTATTATCTTTAAAATAATCGGTATAAACCACTAACTACCCTCTCTCCACTTTTTAGTGGCTTCTCCCCACAGGCACTAAGAATAATATATCAAGTTGCTAAAATGGCAAGAAGCTGATGGCCATCCATATTTGTGTGTGGTACGGAGGGTAATATGCTAAAGGCCATTTGCAAAGGAGACACTTCCTCTCGGGGCTCTCTGCTCTTACCTCCATGTGCTTCAAATTGTGGTCCTCTTCTCAGCTGACTGCTGACCTAACCCACCAGTAGGTTCCAAGTTCCAGGTTGGGTTGGAGGCTAGGGAGTGTGAAGAAAACCATTTTGGTTACAAAGACTAGTGAAAAAATGCTTTATAACTGGATTTTTGAGGACCTGGGTGAGCTTTGACTTTTTCTGATTTCTCCAGGGTAAGTAGTCCCACTGTGGCCAGTTTCAAGTTACCAAAATGACATCACTGAATGTGAAGCTGGGTAGAGATGCATGCTTGACTCTTGCAAACCATCTAGCAACTTTAGCACAGTACTACCTATAGATTCCAGTTATGTAATGCAATCAAATTTTACAAGCAATTTGGAAACAAACTACACTAAGATGTTTTTTTCTCCAGATTCACAGAAATGCAAAAGCTTGACAATATACTCTGTTGGTGAGTCTATGCTCCTAATTGCTGCTCGGAGTACAAAATAGTATTAACCTATGGATGAGATTCATCAATATCCATGAAGAATACATAGATATTTATCTGTCACTAACCAAACACCTTTACCTGGGATGGAGTTTTGTTGGTGAACAGGAGATTCACAGAACTCAAAGTATCACATTTTTTTAAACTGTCAGTGGAAAAAGAAGTTATCTTAAAAATTTTAAATGCATATGTTAATAATAATAATTTTATTAAATTTATTTTAACAAATGAAATATATATTAAGCAGACACCACCTTAAGTGATGAAATTAGCATTGCCAGTAATAGGAGAAACTGAAATCATGTGTCTTCTGATACAGTGCACTGAATAGGACACAACATCAATCTATATAAAATTCCTGGTAAAGGCAGATTATGATAAATTAAATCACTGGGGGTTTTGCACCAAATGTTTAAAAATTATTAATTTCTGGTTGTGCTGAGACTTCATTGCTGTTTTGTATCTCCAGCTGCAGGGAGCAGGGGCCAGTCTTCACTGCAGTGCACAGTCTTCTCAGCAGAGTGGCTTCTCTAGTGGAGCGCAGGCTCTAAGTGTGAGAGTTGCTCAGTAGTTACAGGAATGGGCTATAGGGCAAGGGCTCAGTAGCTGTGGTACAGAGGCTTTAGTCATTCCACAGCATGTGAAATCTTCCCGGAGCAGGGATTGAACCTGTGTCCCCTGCAATGGCTGGCAGATTCCTTTCCACAATCCCACCAGAGAAGTCCATTGCATCTGAATTTTTTTAACACCATTAAGAAACTTATTTGGGCAATTAGTTTGACTTTTTGAATTAGTTTTCTGAATGTAGTATTTGTACCATGATCACATAAGAGTATAGTGGTTTTAGGAGATACACAATGAAATAGGGATGGGAAGTCATGAGGTGTGCAAAGTGTCTTTCAGTTCAGGTCATCCACTCAGTCGTGTCCAACTCTTCGCGACCCCATGAACCGCAGCATGCCAGGTCTCCCCGTTCATCACCAACTCCCGGAGTCCACCCAAACTCGTCCATTAATCAGTGATGCCATCCCTCCATCTCATCTGCTGTTATCCCCTTTTCCTCCCGCATTCAAATCTTTCCAAGCATCGGACTCTTTTTCAATGAGTCAGCTCTTCCCATCAGGTGGCTAAAGAATTGGAGTTTCAGCTTCAACATCAGTCCTTCCAATGAACACCCAGGGCTGATCTCCTTTAGGATGCACTGGTTGGATTTCCTTGCAGTCCACGGGACTCTTAAGAGTCTTCTCCAACACCACAGTTCAAAAGCATCAATTTTATGGTGCTCAGCTTTCTTCACAGTCCAACTCTCACATCCATACATGACCACTGGAAAAATCATAGCCTTGACTAGATGGACCTTTGTTGG